TGTCATTCCTTTCTCTAACCGAGTAAGCATATCTTCACCAGCGCGCGTAGATAAAGCCCTTTGATGTAATTAAGACATCTTTGATATATAGTGATTCGTTATGTGGGTTGCGGCCGGGGTTGGTTGCACTCGAGAAAACCTTTTCTTCACGAGATGAAACCATCTAGTGAATATTTGAAAGACATGCAGAATAACATTTGCTTTTTGTTTAAAAGAACTGTGCAGTCAAAAGAATTAGGATGGGGAATAAATGACCACTAATGGGTTGTTTGCTTTATACATTAAATCAACAGAAGCTGAAAGATATGAAACATCAAAATTCCAGCTCAAAGACTGAAATATAAAGTACACCAAAGTGTTGGCTCACTTTTTACAGCACTAGATATTAATGTGGTAAGCAGGAAAAAAACACATTTATATTTTAATTCCAAGGATATGCATTGCAAATTAATGACAGTGTACCTTGAAATAGTACAGTTGATCATAACAAACATCGTAACATAAGCCCGAAAATCGTGCTAATGTTCATTGATTTGATAATAGTATTAGAAAGCAGTTTTTTCAAGGATATAATAAATAATACTTTGAATTGAATATCACGTGCAAATGAAATAGCTTCCTTACAGAAATATATCCCCTTCAGATGGGATTAGTGGGTTCTGCTAATCAGAGTTACAAATAATACATGACTGAATTCTCTTAAGTAACATCTTCTTGTTCAGATCAAACATATTTAACTACTTTGTTCTTAATACCATTTGTTTATACGTCCATTTGAAGAGCATTGATTGACTGAGTCCTGACTAGTCCACCATAAAATAAGCCACTACAATTTCAGCAATATTTTAGCAACATATAAGAAGATTTATATCCCTGAATACTATGCAAATGATTGTTAAAATCATAAGAAAGTTAAGTACCGAATGCAAATTCGTTCCATAACAAAACTGAACAACGATCACCTCCCTTTTCAAAGTCCTCCAGGAATGTTTAAACGTCTGCAAAACAGAAAAATATCATCAAATTCATCCACCCAACTACTATGATATTATTATTATTTGTCCTTTGGGTTCCTAGTGCAACATATGGATTCAGTAACACGTCACCATTTCACTCTCTTCTCGCCAGTCTACTCAACTTGGTTCCACAACCAACTGCCCATAAGCTTTCATTTCTGTCTCACACAACCTCCTCCATATCACCCTCAGCTCACACACCCAAATCGTCGTTCCCCATTTCAGTTCCACTCGACGACCTGGTCTGGTGCGTCATGTCCCCAATCGGTCTCTTCACTGTATGTCCAATCCAATTCAATCCAATCCATCTACACTTCCTCTGCATATTTGTTAAGCGATGGGTTCTCGCTTCATTGGTTCGTTCCCACACAGTCAGCCAGTCAGCCAGTCAGCCAGCCACATTCCTCCTTGCTTGTTCTAGTCATTCTGGCCATATGATCTTCACTATCGAGTGAGCGAGCGTAGGTGGCAGCTGTTGATGAGTGTCTGTTGTTTGTTGGAAATGCTTTGCGTGACGCGCCAACTTCCCAAACCATCACATAGAAGCACTGACTACTTGACTGACATTAGTGTGTGTTCAAAATCCGATCCTTGTTCAAGCTTTATGCTGAGTTCAGTGCAGTGCAGTGTAGTGTAGTGCGGTAGATCTCCACACTGATTTCAGGTTAATGCAGGAAGTCCTGTCTTGCTGTCTTTCCGAACCTGAGTTTGACGTCCTCATCTGTGCCGCTGTCTGTATTTCAAACGATGCTGCCTGGGTGAGTAGATAGTTAGGTAGGTAGGTGAACGAGACATTTTCCTTTAGATTTCTCCCGTTGATGGTGCTTGTTATTGTTGGTTGGGTATCTTCGCCACCTGTCTTCGTTCACCTGAAGGAAGTCCCTTCTTCGCTTCCCTGCTTCTTCTGCCAATCTGTTGGTTTTCGCTTGTAGATCTTCGAGCTTGCGCGACAATAATATGGTTTAATACTTACTTCTAACTATCCACACTGACTAAATATGGCACGTAGCATCCTACATAAACTGGTCAACAGATTTTTTTATAGTTGTAAATGATTAACCGAAAACCTTAGAAACAAGCCTTCTGATTGCTATGAACAGCAAAAAGAAGAGTAATTCTTTGGTGATTAGATTATGAAACACTAAAGTAGATGCATATAGTTGAACCTCCATAGGCACAATACATTCTATCTATATTCACAAATGTCCTTGCATCAAAATCCTCAACAACAACAACATAAACTTATATCAAAACAAAAGTCTAAGATCGAGAAGTGAACAGTACTACACTTTTTATGAATACCATAGGAATTTCGATTCATAAGGTATCTAACTTCAATGTACAATACGTAAAATTAGAATTGATAAATACATATTGAGATGATAGGGAATATTTGTAGCTCATGAGGATAATTTGGATGGTGTTATGTCCCGTGAGCTGGAAGGTCTAATTGTGAAGCCAGAAAACTTTTAGAAGCATGTCATTCAGCAATCAACAGGCATACTGACATTGACCCAATCTACGAACTCGTAAGAAATACGAAAAAAGTCGAATTTCAGATCATGAAAACAACCAATCGAAATAAACATAGAAACAATGATAAGACCTATCACATGCAAGGCCATTAGGAGAAGCTACCAAACAACTTGTGGAGAAAACGTTGTAGCCCAACTTCTTTCTAAAGTTTATGCTGAGTATTTTGTCTAGAATAGCAGTGAAAGCTTCGAGATTAAGCCATTTAGGTTAGAGAACACAACACCATCAAAATAAATTCATATTAAAATACCGAAACATTTAGCTGATTGCAAAGCGACTATTTTTCATTTAAGTATTCTCTCCTACACTGAGCGAAGAATATCGAAACTGAAAATATAGCAGTAATGGATTCCTAGCAATAGTAAATACCATCAATTTGTCTGTCTAATCAAAGATGCAAACTCAGTTAGTTGTATGAATGAGATAGATGAAATAAATGACAGAATAATGTTGCTCATTGATTTTAGTATATCGCTAAGAGAACGAGTAATAGATGTCAGACTGATGTTAATAAGCATACTTCCTAGTGGCATGAAGACAAATTCTGACATATGTGAGTGTATAGGCCGGAAACTATCGTCATTAGGGGATGAGTTCTCGTATCGTCATGAAATTATCGACAGATTATCTTATTGAGGAAAAAAACAAACGAAATATACAGATTAATTCATAATCTCTGAAAGAATAATGCCTCATACATCAGCATGAATAAAATCTCCAGAAAAATTGTTAATTCAACACACCAAGAAGGATTTTGTAGGCAGTCATACATACATACATACATACATTTCAATCTCATTGTAATAAAAAGGCGTATGTGATTATCTATTAATGAAAGAAGAGTTGAGAAACCGGAAACTATGACCAAGAGTGATAGTATTAATCCTCTTAAGAGTAAATGATAGTTAACTTTCACTACCTTGGTAAATACCCACCACTAGCTTCATGTAACTTCCAAAAATGCATTCCCTGTTGTAACTTGATAAAATCAAGATTAGTGAAAGCTCAACAAGAAGTGGGTGACTGATTCTGTTACGAAACATATTTGAAGCAAGATATAATGGCAAATCGAAAGCTGATTTAAATGTAAAAAAATAAAAACATCCTTCATGATTTCTAAGATTTAGTCTTTTACTTCATGAGATAAAAATAAAGTTGAACAAGGTCTCAACATGAAAAAATACACAACGATAAAACGTGTTTAATATCCTACAGTGAAGTAAGCTGAAGTACAGAAAAAAATAATGATGACTGATGAGGAATAATAATGATTCACCCACCTGCTGTGTTATATGAATTAAAACATTACAACATCAGTTCTCATAATAATACAGAAATGTCCTACTGAAAAATAATACTTCGATTAAATGGTAAATTCGAACTACTGTGGTGAAAGCTACTTATAAGGATGCATGTCAGTAGTATTTGGCACAACCTAGGAGAATGCAAGAAGTGACAATAATCAACTAGTGTGAGAGGGAAGGAGATAATATTGATTAGAAATGTGAAGTGTCTACAATTTGAATTTCTTGTAAGGTTTAACATTTGTCATTAACTATAGTAGTTTTTCAACAGACTATCTTAGCTGCTTCACTGAAATTTTTTTCACTACTACCCATTAATGAAGCTACACGATTTCTCAACACAATACACAATGTATTCGTCACTTATTAATACATTCACTGCATGGCTATAGATTTAAGGTTATTTGCAGTATCCACTTTCATATAATCAATTCAAATATTGTTCTACAAATCCATATTAAAGAAATCCACCCATGTTATTCACAACGTTGAAAATCAACTCTCCTTTTTAAAAAAGGTATGATTCTCCACAAGACAGGAATTTAACATTAAGCTGCAGATCGCATTCAGTAGAGTGTTGGAAAGCAGCAAAGTGTACATTATACAGGAATCGGTGCTAAAAAAGCTGTCTGTAATTGTTTCTTTCTGATAATGTCTAAGATGGCTGAAAGATACTACCATCAGTGGATAGGAAGCACCCTCAAAGGAAATCAACATCTGTAATCATCAGCAGCAAAGGCAGAAGTTTTCGTACTTCAATTTTCGTTTGATATAACTATGTAGTCAGGAAAAACCTTATTGGACAATTTTATTCTAAAGTTGACCAATCAGCACAAGTCATTTAACTTATAATCCAGTAGCTTTGTATGTACATGAAAAGTGTATATAAATGACGTATTTTTGTCGAATAAAGTGTCTTCTTCAGTCACAAGCTAGTCTTTGCCTACTGATATTTCTATGGCTCAGTGAAGTACAAAGTATTGTGGAGAATCAACGGACACTATTCATATCCAGTCCAAGCGTCTCATTACGTTATTGTCTTTCGCGTATTTCTTATTATTTCACATGATTTACTTCACCGGTTAAAAAAAATAACTAAATAAATGACCCATTCACTAGAAAAAGGGTCAAAAAGACATGCAAATATGGTTTTCATACGCTTTTATTGTATTTAGTACGGTTTATTCAATATAGTTTAATGAACATTTAATAGTTGTATCAGTAGTAGGTACAATTTTACAAAAGAAAAAAATGTCCTCAGATTCACACAACAACTAAAACAATTGTGTCTCATAAAGAGAGATAAAAAGAGAAGAAGAACTAGGAATTGACGAATAAGCATTTAAAAAAGAACAAGAAAGATCCACAGGACGGATAATATCAAGGCGTTTTCGTCTTTGGTCGCTTCTAGAATGGACTCCCGTCCTATAACGCTCATTAAGTTCTAACGCTTTAGAACCAGATGTTATATAATATTCACACAACGATAAAAAATAAAGCCATAGGATCGATCTAAAGAAACAAAGGGGACGAATACAAACATCATTTTCTAATTACTCTGTCGCCATTAAAATACTCTCAGACCACAAAAGTATAAAAATGATAACAGTAATAATAGCAATAACGATAACAAAACAGAAATGCAAAATTCTTCTATGTAAGTGAGAACGGCATGCAAGAGGTTTCATTTACATGAGAACAAGCTGCATGTGGTAAAAGATAAGAAAAAAAAACACGGAACATATTAGCGGTTTGTGAGAAAAAACAATGACCATGATAACAACCAGGTTTATCCAATAAAGCAGGATGACATCATGTCTTGTATAATGAATGCCCAACTTTTCAATCTAGTGCAGCGATCGGTAAAGTAACAATGATAACATACCGTTATAATAACAACGGTGGTAAGAGCCAACAGTGATATGCAAACAGTCATCTAATTAGCTGTACACTAGCAACTAAAAACGAATTAAAGATAAGAAATAATAATCATCTTTTTTTTATTGAAAGAAAGCACTGGAAAATATTTCAAAAACGTTGGCAAAGGAAAACATAAAGAAACAATAATACTGTCAGTCAACAGAAGTAATACAAAATGAAGACTGAAAAAAGAAATACACCATTTGTACTTCAGAAAAGAATATCTTCGAATATGTATAAATATATGGACAGGCTGTTAAGTTTGGATTGCAGGATTCACCAAGTGAAAAGAACGGAAGACAAAAAGACATATCCAGTGCATTGTTACAGATAAACTTCACAGAATTCAACCGTACGATTCTTGTAGAAATAATCTAAAATATGTTAAGAACAAAAGAAGAATTGTCGGATAACATGTTGCCATTTGTCGAGAAAATTTCAAATAGAAGATAACAATAAATAGTATATCCCTTGATGAGTGAAATTTCCCTGTCAATTAGACAAAATGTAACCAACACGGTTGTTCATCTGTTACACGTGAACGAATTCTTGAAATAAATAACTGTCAATGTTGTTGTTTGCATTATCTCGTCGTTGAGTACAAGCAACAACATCAAAACGTGACTCGATGGTCTAGTGGGTAACGCTATGGCGTTCGAATCCATCGGTACTGAGTTCGACTCCTGGTGGGAACAACATCGCTTACTGAGAAGCAGGTACATCCAGCTGACGAGTCCCAAGTAAGATGAAAGGCGCGCCCTGAATTCCACTGTCAGCCACTATCCATCATTAATAAATAACTGTTGCCTATACAACAAAACTATCAGAGATAAATCACACATATCCAAAAGCAAGAAAGTAATGAAATTCTAACGAATCATATGGCGATACCCATCAGTTAAGACGAAAACAAACTATACAATACTATAAATACTGAAATATCAAATATCTTAAAAAATCTGCAGGTAGATTTGACGTACAAATATCAAACCTAAATCTATTCGAAATATACCTAAAACACACTCGTCACACGATAGAAACCTTTCAAATCAAATTGTCATAACCAGTCTCCTCTGTTTAAGGAATCACTGAGAGTCGGAAGATATTGAATATCGGTTTCATTTTAATATTGAACTTCTCAGTAGCACGTAGTGACTAGTATTTGTATTGAAAGTGCTACTATCGGGAAATATGCTCCCATCCGAAACGTCCTGATTTGGGCAAAAGTGAGAAATTTTCATTGATTGTCGCGAAACACTCTCATACCCTATGCCGACAAAGTACTACTCACTGTCTTCACGTGGCACGTACTTCCTAAAAAGTAAAACGACGAAAGCGAACGTCGGGTTGCACACAGACGAGGATAAGGAAACACTGATTCCAAACCAGTGGTGCACATGCACTTCAAAACTTATAAAGGGACAAATAGTGTGTGGAGCTACCTTGGTCATCAACAACCACGGGAATGCAGCATCTGATCTTTTTCTGATGTCTTGTCAATTAAGCTTCAACACAAAGGTTTCGAAAGGGATCCCTTTGGGAAACAACAATTTATGAACCAATATCAACAATTAAGGCTACCAAATCTGCCTAAAATCTTCCGTCAAGAAAAGAATTTCATAGTGTAAATAACTCTCTACACCATCACTTCAACTGTATTTTTACGTTGGAGGCTTCAACTGAAGTGAAAATAAACTGACAAGAGAAACAATGTCTTCCTACCATATGTAGTACGCCCACAACTGACTGTAGCAAGAATTCACTTAGGGAGGAGTTCTATTATTTGAGTGACCTTTTCAATCAAGTTCGCTTCACACTTGAATGCACAAATTATCTTTTTACACTCACGGAGAGTTATTTAACTGTAAAACGCGACTTGTTCAATCCTAGGTAAGATAACAGAGAACTCCCCTACAACTCTATACACACCACAACCTGTCTCTATTCATCCCTAACCATGACATTTGACGTCCCTGCTAACACTCAAACCTTGACCTAGATAGATCAAACCACAGTTACCCACGGACGATGTGGATTTATTTACGACTGCCACTTCTTTCGGTACACTTATTTGGACTCTCACCATGCTTTAGTGTGTACCAAATTCATCTTGCGTTTTCGTGGTCATCGAAATCGTCACTCTCGACACATTTACATAAGCAAATTGATTGCTCCCAGTATTACAAATGAGTGCAAAACTGAACTGGATTCAAGATTAGCTGTCAACCCTGTAGAAAGAATAAATGAGGATTAGTTGCATCTGAAAGACGCCATGTAAAAAGCAAATGCAGCTTCTTGTGTCTTAGAAAGACGTTCAGCTCATGAACACTGCGTCTTTTCAAGCTCATTATACATGTAAAAAACGACAGATCTACCTTCTTAGAAGCTATAATTGTTAAGTACAACTACTTGCAGGAGTAAATGATTGACAATAAAAGTTTTACCTTCAAACAGAAATACATATAGGTATTTGTTACAAGTGAATTCTTAAATAGTACTGACATTATCATCATTACTGTTACTGTAATAGCTATTGACTTCCAGGAATATTTGGTAAATGACTGGAGACCTCCTGTTGTTGGTGTTGATGATGATGAGCGTGTCGTTGGCGAGTAAGTTGTAATTCACATCGACTTTGACGATGTTTATCCACTAAGTAAGAAAAACTTGTATCTAACCATTGTTTAATATCTGCATATGTGACAATTATTACATTTTGACTATCACGACTGACAAGACAAAGGCGTTCAGGTGATGCAGCTTCAACCTGGAAGAAAATTATTCAACACACAGAATTTACTATGATTTCAAGTGTTAGTACCGATAATTTAAATAGACAGCAGTAAAATGACAGTGACAAGTGATCAGACATATTTTATTATTATTATGAGTAAGTGTAAGAGAATGAATTTGAATAACATGTTACCTGCAACTACGAAAGCTGAACAATAAATTCGAATTTTTCCAAAAAGTCAAATTGTATTCATAGCATACTATTATTTACAACTTAGAAACATTATGTAAGCTTTTCACAGTGGTCTTCGTCACTTTCTGTATCCTGATTGGCTACCTGGAAACTATTCATCTTGGTGACTTGTAGTGGAATCCAGAAGGCGCAAGCAGTGGCCTTTATGTCCCAGTGGCCTAGTGGATAACGCTTTGGGTACTGGGTTCGAGTCTCAGTGGGAACAAGATCATTCAGTGGATTGCAGGTACATTCAGCTGACGAGCCCCAAATAAGACGAAGCGTGCCTTCTAGGTTCCACTGTGAGTCACCAAGATGAATGTAACACTATGAATAACTGGCAGTATCGAGATATCCGCATAAGAGTCCATCCGTCCACAGAGGCCAAGAAATTCGATATAATGTAACACACGTTGATATCGTATTATTTTCAGTGGATGGCATTTCGAGCAGAATGCATTGCTCATAATCATATCACTTTTATGTAATCATATCAAATAGACAATCTAATAGGAAATTACATATTATATAATCGAATAAAGCCGTTTATTAAACAGTAGTCATAACTTATATGGGGATACAGAGAAATGACTGGTCTGGAGAGGGACCAGTCGAAATGTACTTTATGTCATCACGTCCATAGTTAGACGGACAGATACTGGATCAGCCAACCAATATTATGATTTTAAACAGTGAGCTATCTATATATTAGCTGTATTTTCCTTTGTTTTGGCCTCCATTTTTTCGACCCCAATACACGTTACTACATGTCCCCCATCGCTTCAACATTAATTAGTCAGGTTGGGAATCAACTAGGAATTTGTTGAATGTTGGTGGCTGACACTCAATATCCGTGTATCGTTAGCGTCCAAGGCACATAACAGTTTTTGAAACCATAACAGTAGTGATGAAAATGGGATATTGCAATTCACGAATACGATCATTATTCATGAATCTTGAACAAAAAGTTTTGATGATTCACAAGAGAGTAAATTAAACACATGAAATCCATTTTGATGAAGTGAGTATAAGTGACTTCTAACACCATACTAGAGGTCAAGTGGCAGTCACACTAGACTTCACGATCATGAAGAAGTGAGCCAAATGTTCACAACTATATAAAAACTATAATATAACATATTTAAGAGTTTTAATTTCAGCATATTTTTTTACTGTAATAATAGTCATAATTTTATTGAACAGTCGAATATAACTCACCTTGTTCAGTGTGGTTGTGATATGCGCAAGATCTAAGTATGGAGCACCAAGAGGATCAGATTGATGAAATACAAAGTCTCGGAATAATTTTAACATATAACGATCACCGGTTTCAGACCATTCGGGGGATGTACCCTGACTATAAGACATGAAATAAAATAATATGCATATAAGGAATCGTGCAACAACCCTAAGACGTGGAAATAAATAATAAAGTAGGTAGTGAAGTACCGAGCATAATCCACTTGTAAGATTTACTCTTTACATTACTTCTAGATAATGAATGATAAAAAACAGACGATGTAAACATAATGCGCCGTACTTGGACAATATCTTTAGTAGACCTTCATACATATGGCTACTTAGGGTAGAAAATGTGTTACAGACATATATATTCATCCACCATTATTTGAGTAGCTCTGACGTAGAGGAAAAAAAAGATTTTATAAGCTTTTAGGCCTTTATCGATCCAATAGGTCTTTATGCATGTTGCACGTCCAAAAATACCACCTAAGTCGACATTTTAGCGTCAGCTTCAGTACACGTGCGATAAGTCATTTCAGTGTGGTAAGATTTCATGATAACATATGAGGCTTGACCTTGTGTTGATTAAAGTCAAGTGTGGAACTGTAGACAAAGTAGCTTCAATCAACAAGACAACCGGAATGGGCAGCTGAAATAATTATATAGCTGGCAAACGATTGTCGTGTTACGGAATCATTTAGGCTTTTTTCGACTCCTATTTCTTGATCATTATTGACATTTTAGTTTTCATTCTTGAGTATTTACCCTAATTGTTCCCATCGATATGCAGAGGACAAAAATACACATCAACTGAGACTATATGACATTAAGTAGTAGGTTTACTGATCGTTTACACTGCACATTAGTGCTGTTTACGTGGGAGGCGTTTAACATTAATTCTGTGACCTCCATACTACCTCCATACCTCCATACTAAATGAGTAACTGTGCATTTTTTGCACAAAAGAGTTGAGGATACATCATACACAGTATCTTTAGTGAAACATTAGTGTTCAGAGCATTGGTATATGCATACAATTTTAGAAAGCTTAACTACTTCATCATGAACGGTCACACTTATGCGGAACAAACGCGAAAAACTGAGTAGCCGAATCATAGTGAACACTAAACATTAGTTCAAAAATATCTGGTAGTCACAGATATTGTGATGTATACTACCATAGGATAACCATAAGTGACTCGGTTATTGTATGCAACTTAAAAGCAGGAGGAGTCATAAAATCACTAATCCATAAGGATGTTTAACTATTGTTTACAAACAACCAATGGGTCACAGGTTCGAGCCTAGCTCCACCTATCGGGGTTTGGGCTGGCAGGTAGTTTTGTCAGCCCTCACGTTACAGGTGTGGCTTATTGCCTACTTCAAGAATGTAGAGAAAGTTGCAGAGACCAGTTCAATTCGATCAGTTTTTAAGAAAAGCAATCAACAGCTTACTCGTGACACAATGATAGGAATCATCTTATGCTCATATAGTTTTCATGAAATCCTTTAAACTAAGATAAAATGAGAAGAAACCTTCAGTAGATTGAAATAATTTCAAGAAAAAAAATACCATCCAACACTAAACAATGCACCAGACGAAAATACTTCAAGAAAACTCGTTTTCAGTATGGTTGAACAGTGCTACGGAATAAACCAACACGATTCGCCTATCCTAAATGAACTTGAATAAGTATGACCTCCAAACACCGTCCGATGGAAATTTGCATAAAGACAGTTACAACCCCAAAGGAAATAGACGGTACCTGTACGAATACTCACTCGCAACGCTCCACGATAGATTGTAATTTGCAGATGAGTCGGAAAAGTCTGTCACATTCCAATTCCTAAACAGTAAAATAATATAACATAGAAATAATTTCAAGTCAATTCCAAAAAATATCTTTAAAAATAAATATTAGTATTCATGACAAAAGTATATGCATAAAATAACTGTTTCTAAACGCTGAATTAGTAGGTCATACAACTTTCATAATTACCAGAACAGTCTAGGTTTTCAAGAATGTTTCACAGTTGTCTGTCTGAAACTTGAACTGAGCAGAAGCAAAATTTAAGTAAAAGGAAAACCGGCGAGAGCGATCAAATAAAATGTTATTCCTTGTCAACGGAGTAATCATATGTTGACTACACTGAGCTACTGCTAGTATTTCGGTGTATTCTGTTAAAATAGGTACAGGGTAACAGAAACCGTGGACCTGAGCCAACTGCCATTATTATTTGTGCAATTTTACAATTATATGATAATTTTTCGGATAAGCTGGATTCCAACATCTTTGATAAATCACAAACCAATGACATTTTAATGTCTAAGATGTTGAAGATGCATTAACACTTGGATGTACCTCTCCAATTACGAATTCTAATATAGTTACTAGGCTTAAAAGCCCATTAAAATTAACGCGCTGTAGAGCTCTAGGAATCAAAGTATAACAATATGAATCAATGAAGTGCACATGGATAACCAAGACAATTCTACAGCCTTCAGTTTTCAAAACATTTTGTCCAAGGAATGTACACTTTTGACACCTACAAATAGAAAACTTTAGTCATTAATTCTGTTATTTCTTTTGCACATTTAACCATCTGTGGCATAGCCATATCTTTATCATAAAACTTTTAACGATAAACAACGCAAATTTAAAATAACCTACAGTGGGCACATTACTGTATAATTTGCCTGAAATCAGTAGACAATGTATTCACCAGCATAAAAATGCAATGACAATAAATTTTATAATTATCAAAAACAAAACTGGATAAAAGAACATCACATTATGAAATATAACTCGAAAGTCACTTACACTGTTTGTAAAAACCATATACAACAAAATCAACCTCAATTTTACGTTACGATAGAGAAGCATTATAGCACCATACCAATAAACTCTATTCAGTCTAATAAAGCAAACTATAGAAACAAAAAGTAAAGGTAATTTGGACAGAGAAATCGATAGACTATGTAACGGTGCTGACTGCCTATCAAACAAATTAATAATTCGGCGTAAAAGATTGCATTAGAAGATACACAAAGGAACTAAGAGAATAATCATGATAAAGGTAATAGTAGTGTTGAAATTGAGAGGCACTGCATGTTCGTGCAGTAGGCAATAAGACAAACCTATTGTGTTAGCCCCAATGATACTACTTGGCTACCCAAACCTTGGTAGGCAGAAAGGGGATTCGAGCCAGTGGCCTACTAGTTTAATACCGACAACCAATAAGTCACAGTTCCCTAGGATAATAGTAATGACATAGGTTGTCAAAACATATGAAGTTGAACATAGACTTAATAAGTGAGTAACTGAGTTAAGTTAAAGAAACCTATTAACAGATACAGTGAAAGGGAAAATCAAGCTATACCCCGAAAAATGTACTCACCGATAATAATTGACTTTCTAAAAAGTCAGAATTATCATACAACCTTGTCAAGTGATCAAAGGCAAATGGTGCAGTAGCTCGCATTAGTTGATCAGCCCCAGATATCTGACCTGATACAAGGCTTCGAATAAGAGTAACCAATTCTGGTCGATAAGCACGTTGCAGTAAATTGAAGGTAGAAGCTCGTTGACTAGCCTTTTATTAACAAAAAGTGAACAATGAAAGATTAGGAAAATGTCGCCAATACATATACAATTTGCTTCTGCAAAAATTTTAATGACTGACAGATTCTAGTTCCATACCCTTCAACTACAGGTGGAAGTAAAATGCATTTTTAACAACTTTGTAGGTTGAAGATAATGGAGGGGAAAAAGTAAAAGAAAGGAAAGACACCAAAGTTAAAAACAAAAGACCAAGAACAGAAAGAAAACATAAGTATATAGTAGTACGTTATACACATTTTAGATGATACAGAAAAAAGGGTGGATGTCGCAGTAATATATTATTAACAGAGTTACTAACAACCTATACTTAATCCTGATCCTTCAAATGACGATCATCTAGGACAGGTAAACTGCGCTATTTTATAAACTTCATATCAAAAGTCAGTAACTGCATTTATTCGAATTCTCTAGAAATATAGCTTTTTTCTGACAATTCTTATCCAGATAAAACAAGCCAGTCAATATAGAAAATACCACCAAGTATTATTATGTAGTGGCTCAGGTTATCACACCTATCTTCGTAACGTCAAGATATAAGGCTACAACACAAAAGACGGGGTAACGGGAATAGCACAATCAAAAATTACCAAAAGCCATAAGGAAAAAAATAAGAGAGTGTAATGTAAATAAAGAAGGTAACATAGCGGTTGAGATTATGATAAGGTTTGGACGCATCTGAACTACTGCGATCAACTGGATCGCACAACCCAGTTTGCAAACTTCAGTTTTGAATTTTTTAATAAATCCCAACCTGAAAGTCTACACCTTCTCGAATAGAGCTTAGGCCAACAATAAGGGACTTCATATGTGAACGCTACGACTCAGTCAGGTCGCCATTCAAACTTTTCTCTACTCTGCTTCACAGATCACAAGTTGGAATCTAACTCTGCTTACTGATATTTGAGGACAAAAACAGTGTCCTCAGACCTGTGGTTCATAGACAATTGTATAAATTACATTAGATGCAGCTTGTGGAAATTTCAGCTATGGTAACAATAAAGAAATTAACAGTTTGAGGATGGAATCTCTAAGCAAGTGAATGGTTATTTTGAAAGTTCACTGACGTTGTACCAACATTTTTATAACCAATATGAGAGTATGATAGTTTTAACAACAAGTGACCAAAACAACCAAAAAAGGTACAATAAACAACCCACTTACTTGTACAGCTGCAACTGTGCCACAAGCCACTCCTAACATCAATTTGCCAAGCTGTATGAAATCAGCTGCCTAAACAATGAAAGTTTAAAATTAACAATGTAAAGAACATAAATGCCATAGACCTTACACTTTGATTTTTAATAATAATAATAATAGTCGCTTTATTTCAAACATCTGTGATACAGTATGGAATTCTCTGCATGTAATATCTAAACAAATTCGCTCCCAATACAATATTTTTAAAAGAAATAATTATCTCATTTGAATAATGTTAACAATAACTAGTGTAAAACGGGCAGTCAGTGTTAAATTAACGTCTGATCCGAACTCGGAAATGAAAACAAAATCAAATGTAATTTTGATACTGGTAATTCAACCAGCCTGTATAAAAAGCTGCAATTCTATGAATGTACCCTAGGAATAATGTACTGCATCTTTGAACATTTATAAATCCATTTTTATACGTCGTAACGCTATTTTTATTTTGTTCGTAGCTTGAGAAATGACAGTTTGAAAATATTTTAAAAATCTACGACAGTATATGAGGTATTTAGAAGACATATTTTAAAGATTAAAACAAACTGAGAAAGAAGAATTTGATGAAATGCATTCCGTGGATAATTTGTTTGTAGCCCATGGTTTAATGTATGAATGAATAGATCGACTAATCAACTGAGTTTTTATGTGCGCTGAAGTGATTAAACTTCCTAACCAACTAAGTTCCAAATTCTTATTCCAAACATATACAAGCAAATATCCCAAACTACCAAGTGCATTCATACGCATAGCCAACTTTTAAAGTAATTACTACTTAACAACGTTTCATGCAACTGCTTCATTAAAAATTCCTGACCTCAGAAAGACATTTGTTGTAAAAGGAATGCAAAGGAGTATCACTTTTACAGAAAATCTTTAAAAACAGGATGGCTAAGCTTTCAAAATGCTCTGATTAAATTAAATTATGAGGGAGTTGTGGGAATTTGGAAATATTTTAAGTTATTATTAAAGCCTGATGGTCGTGAGGACAGTTACTCAACGATGACATTGGGTGGCGGTTGCGCCATATCGTGAGCTAACACAAGTTGGAGATATGGACCATTGGATTCTGACCCAGTGGCTCAATGGTAACGTGCTGGCGACGGAAACTGAACGCCACGGGTTCGATCCCTGGCGGAGTCGTAGGTGCGCACTGCTGAAGAGTCCCATGCTAGGAAGAAACAGCTGTACAGTGCTCCCAGGTTTCCGTTGTTCCTCTAATTGATATCAGTCTACGATGAATAACAACTTGAATATTATATTATACAATCACAGTGATTGAAAGATTACATTGCTGCCGGATAAAACTAGTAACTTTCAAAAAACCAAATGTGAATTCTAAGATACTCAATCGTGAACTTGCTTCAGACTTCATTTTAATCGTTCAGTGTCCACAACAAGTAGTTGTTGACTCCCGAAATGATAAAAACACTACTTAAGCAGTGTTTTGTGGTGTTACCACATGAGTAACGCAGAAGTCAGGAGGAGTTTTAGACAAGAGAGGTAAGCTAGTTGATATAGTTGTGAACCTTTATCGACTGAGATGGCTGGGAAATGCGTTACGTATTCCTAAACATCGTCTACCTTATCATATAATGTTGGCCGAAGTAGGTTCAGGCTGGGAAAATGCTCCGGGTGGTCAGACTAAAGCATAGCATCAATGCATGAAGTCCTTGAGTGTTCGTTCGAACCAGCCAGCCTGTTGGGGTTCGCAGTAGGAGAGAAACCAGTGATATGGCCCAGAACCAATGTCAGTGGCGCACACACTAACCGCTAGACTTAATCTCATCATCAAATTTTCCCTTCCTCTCTTTAGCTACTTTCTCTTTTACTTCCCTTTGGCCGATTTTTTTTTTCTTCTTCATCCTCCATTTTATTACCTTGTTACTTGATGTGCTGATATGAGGTGTGCCAACTTGGACCGTTACGCAGTAATGCCTGGTCCTATGTTCATCTTGATGATTATGAATCAGTTACTAGCGACAGTCTTTTATCGACCGATCAGTTAATTGAACAGATTGCAATTGGATATGCTTAGAAATCTAAAAATTTTAAACGAACTCCCCTTTCTTTTTCTGCAAACTTTAATTTTTTTTAAGACCAGTTTAAGACCTGAAGAGAAATAATTCACTTGGAATGATTAGCATCGATAATAGATAATTTAAAACTTTATGAAATATAAGCACACCTGGTTTTCCACCACATTGGTATCTTGAGCAGAATAGAACAAAATATCCTTTAATCCAAAGCAATTGATTCGTAAACTATAAGAAAGGGGAATATATACATGTTTAATGTAGAAAAAGAAATCAATAATTAAGTCATATAGCTTTGTTTAGAAGTTTATTCCCTCTAAGATAAATGTATCACTTCATAAGAGATAACCAGTAATTGCAGAGTTCAATAGTGTAACGCTAAATTAGTATAACACGTAAGATAAATAAAAACTTCAAAGAAAACTGAAGTCCACAATTCTGATCGCAAATAGGTCAGAAGTAATGAAAACAGGTATTATGTTCAATCTTAAATACTTACAGTCTGCAGTCAGCCAATCAAATACTTATCAACGCGAATCAACACGAAACTGTTGGTGAAATCATGATTGTAGAAATAAAGTACTGATATGTGATTTGATACTAGTCACACCTAAATCACATTTAATCGAGAAATAACTATATTTCGATTAATACCGTTCCAACGAAGCTACTAACAACAGTCTCTGCAGGAAAAGTATTATTAATGTTTATCGAAAAACTTGATCCGAAACTAAAGCAATGCTTCAAAAATGTTTTTAAAAAAACAAGCGTGAGAAGAGAATAACCCATTGAGAAAAAAATATGGAAAACATATCATGTTTAACAGACTAGAAAAACTGAAAAAATGGACCTTGATAAGGTGCTATGATAGAGTAAGCACTGTAACTCCGTAGTAAAATACACTGATACAAGACCTCAATGATGTAGTCATCTTGTCAGGTCATTATTATTTATAAAAACAAAATAAACAGCCTAGTTCATAGTGAATTATTTTCCAAGCTAGGGTTTTAAATGGTAAACGTTTCAATATCATGCCAGACATTGCCATCAGAGCTTCATACCCTGAGCTAAAAATATTCGCCACAAAGAGCACTGTGGTAGAGACGTTAGGAAGTGACCAATGAGCTGCGGAAACCATATGAGTTCTCACACCTTTAAATATATTGTTAACTTTTGACGAGAAATAAAAAGAATTCTAAGTTGGAGCTGCGAAGTACAAGATTATGTAATGAAGAAACTCATTGTTTAGAAGTCGGAATTAACAATTATGATACATTTTTTCTTTTTGATTACAGGAGTGTTAGGAATGAAAATTCTTCAACACTTCTTTTAATTTGTGTGAAACGAGCTCACAGGTATCTAGATTTCAGGTCATCTCATAATCCAGTCTATCAGTTAAGGCGGGTTTTGTCAGACATTTAAATAACGAGTTAAAGTGTATCAAGAAAACACTACCAATCAATAATTATCCTCTAGATTTCACAATGAAATTACTAAGAGTGCATAAGAAGCGATGTAGTAGTAGCAATTAGAATAGTAACGGAAGCGCAAGTAGAGAGGAGTTCAAGGCTTCTACTGCGTTGCCGTATAGAGATTGAAGATCAGAAACTTTACATATGATTCTTAACAAAGCTGAAATTAAAATGGCACTCAAATCCACAAACTCACTTAGAGATACACTTTGTCAACTTAAGGATCCTATTTGACCCAATTAAACAAAATAATGTAACCTACTGAATATCATGCAATGAATACGAGGCCAAATACACAGGTCAAACTAACCGGTCAGGCTCAGTTAGATTACCAGAGCATAGGAATTTCATCAAATGGTGAATGATAGACCCCACTAAGATCAATAATTTAAGAAAACTCAGCTACTGTGATGCATGCATTAGCACACAAAACACAACAGGGTTGGATAAAGAAACTGTACTCGAATATAGTTAGGTGGAGAAAGAGACTTATCACTAAATCTTTGTTCATCGAAGCAACACTTAACAGGTATATTAGGAACTACGTAACCCCTGTGCCGAAGATGAGGACACTTTTACTACCATTAAAAACAAACACTATGTGAGAAGACTATAAAAACCAGATATCGACAGTTATGTGATTACTTCGATATGATTATGAGCAACAATTTATGTTCGAAATATCATCTAGTAACCAATACTGTATCACTGTGTGGTGGTTATATCATATAAACAATTCTGTTAAGGTAGCAGCTATAGAAATTAAAATTTTCTTTAAAGAAAAACTACAAGTTTATTGAAAAAAAACTACATACATACAAAAGATGATTTTTCAATTGTATAAAAAAGGCAACGATAAAATTATATCATTTAGGATAAAGATAGGATTCTACCGTGGACCATCTTGTAGTAACACTTTAGTAGGATCCAATATACCACATGATCGACGAACTGTTTGATGAATAAAACGTAAACCACCGGTTAATTGGATTAAATAAGACCATAAAACAGACTCTTGGAGCATTCCTAGATCAGTTGGAGCATCTGTAATGAGACAGGTAGAGAATAGGACAATAAATAACATATCGATTAAAATACCAAGAAAATGAAATCTAGTTGGTCCAAACGCATTGTAGAATGATCGTTTTGAAAAATGTTATCACATGGTGGTATGTGAAATGAAGGTAAGATGTTTCCATGTTTTCACCAAATGCCTGGATTTAAATCTGAATTTCTGCATAATATTCATTGATATTGTTGAAAAGTGGGAATAGCTATCTTTTTAAACAAGCTCCTAATTGACTAGTGTTTTTTTTTCTTCAAAATACACACGGAGCTAGTACAAACCTTTATATATCCTTCTGTTAAACAAGCTACTTAAATACTCCTACCACATTAAGAATAAGTAGGAATGAAGCACTTATGTACTATGGCATTCGCAGAACCATACACTACATGTTTAAGAACATAATGTAGACCATAATTCTAAGATCAATTTAGCTATGAAAAGATAAGTAGCCACTTTTCTTTATTGGAAAATGGTACACAAATTTAGAGTTGCAGTTTTTGTCGAAGGTAATGCGACTGAACCCAGCACAAGTTTGTATATGAGTTTATGAGTGAAACTTATTGTATGAGGGTTTATGATATTAACCGGTATATATTAGTCACCAGTTGTCCAACTTTATACAATTGTAACGAGGTTTAAACCTGGAATTCACTACTTGGAAGTTGAGTGCTTAAACCAATGCAGTAGTAAGGTGAATTCTATGAGTCAGTTGTTAGCATTTCTTAGGAACGATAATGACCTGTAATCCATTTCTTGGTGTTATTAACTTCATAACAACAAGAAATTGTTCGCAGGTAATCATTGTTCTGGGGAATGATAGTTGATTAACAGAAATTAAAGTGTCCCCTTTTATTAGTTGTACATTAAACAGAGATAGTTTTTTGTGTGAGAAATGTAGAACTATGATGGTGGTATTAATCACAGACCTCGCATTTGTGACCACACACAAACTGGAAGGGTAATTCAAACTATCCCCTATCGGTGGCGTTCACAAGGTATGAGATTATCAAAATGATCGATTTTTCACTTTACTGTTGTTCGGAGCTACTAGACAGGCTTTTCACTTCGGGAACTGACGTAATGGTAATCAAACGAACGCTTAGTGCATGAAAAATACCGACAGATGGGAATTTATAACTAAAAAATTAGTAAATTTAGAACAGCTTATTTACAGATAACTGGTTAGTTAAGCAAATAACTACCATAGCAGACATTATCTTACATGAAAAATAATCGAGATATACAATGCAATTTATAGCTAGTGTTGATATTCAAAACTGATTTATGAAATAAAAAGCAATAAACGTAGTAAAAAGTAGGACATATGATCAAAAGTATAACTTACTCTTCACAGCACTATGAGGTAAAACTGTACGACCAATAGTGAAGGGTGAAGTGAAACTGGTTACTTTCATGGGATCACTCATATGGAGTTGTTGTAAGGTTGAGGAGCAAGGTATATACTCATACACCAAGACAACAGCTATAATAAAAAAGAAATAAACTCATTTGTAGGAGGATCAATGTAATAAACTATACGAGAAAAGTGGTGAATGTACGGTTTGCTAAAATAACTCAGGCTTACGGAAAAGGCAATACACAAAAAACCAGTGAATGACAAGTGGAAATACTGATACTCTCATCACGGAATACGTAAATATGTTCAGACTAGGCTTTTAGTTAGCCGGACTTTCGTTCCAAACGTTTCAAAGACACCTTAGACATGGTTATCAATCGAACTTTACGGATCAATAAAGTAACTTAACTGCGCATAAGTACTTTTAACAATGATTAACTGGATGATCGATATTTTACCTATATATTTGTCAGAATGCAGTGTAATCGGGCAATCAGCTGAACAAGTGTGGTGAGATCACTTCTTTGTAATTGGTTAGTTTTTCTTGTTTGAAGGAACAGGTAAAAGCCAAGTTGATTTGGTTGACCAACGTCTTCTTTAACTGATATAATGACGGTTGCCTTCATTTGATAGCTTTTTCGAAATATCGAAGTGCACTCGACAACCATATCCACAATCGTGCAGTAGACAATGAGTGATACCTATTCCATGAGGGCTAATGATACTACCTGGATGCCCAGACCTCAGGAGCTGAAGAGGGATTCGAACCCGCGACCACCTGGTTGAAAGTCAAATGCCTAGACCAGAAAGTTACGGTTCCATATGATGACCTGGTACTTCAAACTGACTAACTTGCCCTATAAAAGAGGGACTGGTTTTTTCTGGTGCAGAAGTAATAGCTTAAATTACCTGACTTATTTTCTAAATTCAGTTAAGTGTATTGGAATATCTCTCATAAAACTGACTGGTAAATGTTCAGTTAAATTAAGTTTAAGCTCTTCATCTTCATCAGAACAAAATGGGAGACATTGAGTAACATTCCTGAAGGAACCTAAGTGAAAAACCCTGGAACGTTTTGAAAGTTATGTCGAAAGAAACCTTCATAACCGTATTAGGAAGGAAGAGGAAACAAGACAAGGAACGGATATCGACTAACAGATGGAAGCTGATGGAGTAGAGAAAGGAAGATGGTGAAGCAGAAGATGAACCAGTGCAGTTCAGGGATGAACAATGAGAAGAAGAACCGAGTACAACGTATAAAACACTGGACAAAGAACAGAAGAGTACGCACAAAGACAAAAGACACTTTTACGACACATTGGCAGGTGAAACACAACAGGCTGGTGGTAGGAGAGACCTGACAACAATATATCAAATAACCAGGTTACTATCTGGCAAAAGATCAACGCAGACGAAACCAATGAGGGATAGTGAAGGAAACCTAGTTACAAAAGAGGAGAAACAAAGGAAACGATGGGCTGACCACTTCAAAAAGCTCTTGAACCGACCACCACCATCACCTGCAACTCGTCCAGAAATACCACCAGTAACGGCAGAACTACCAGTGAACACAGGCCCTCCGACAAAAGCAGAATTCTTGAAGGCCATATAACTGCTGAAACTCGGGAAAGCAGCAAGACTATATGGAACTCCTCCAGAAGAAAGGAAAACAGACGCAGAGACAATAGCAATAGACATGCAGAAGTTTCGGAAGGAAGGAAAGGTACTTGACGATTGAAAGAGGGGCTACCTTGTCAAGCTTTCAAAGAAGGGTGACCTAAGTCTTTGCAAGAACTGGCGCGAAATCATGCTGCTATCCACCTCAAGCAAAATATTATGCCGAATCATCCAGGAGAGACTAAAGGATACACTGGATTCAAAATTACGACCGGAACAGGCTGGCTGGCTGGCTTCAGAAAGAACAAATCATGTGCCGATCAAATTGCAATGCTGATCCACAATGGAAAGTTCAGTGACGCCTTTGAAGTGAAGACAGGAATAAGACAAGGTTGCCACCTACTGTCACCCATGATCTTCCTGATTGTGGTCGACTGGATCATGCAAGAAACTGTGAGGAGCGAGAAGATGGGCATACGCTGGCTGGACCATGAAAAGACCCCAGAAGAGGATTTGGATTTCGCCGACGATGATTAATGTTTAATGTCGCACAAACTAGAAGATCTACAGGCAAAAACTAACAAGTTGACAGAAGAGGCAAGGCAGCGAAGACGGGACTTCCTTCAGATGAACGTAGAGAAGATAAAGGTGATGAAGATGCTCAAACAACAACAGCATCAAAAACAAGATTCACCAATCGCCATTAACGGAAGCAACCTAAAGAAAGTAGTCTCTTTCACCTACCTAGGCAGCATCGTTTCAACTACATGCGGCACAGATGAGGATGTCAAAACCAGGATTGGAAAGACAGCAAGATAGGCTTTCACTAATCTGAAATCAGTCAGCATGTGGAACAAGATCCGGATTTTCAACACCAATGTCAAGTCAGTGCTGGTATATGGCTCAGAAGCTTGGCGTGTCACGAAAAGCGTTTACAAAAAATTACAGACATACATCAATAGCTGCCTACGCTGGCTCCGTACTGAAGATCAGATGGCCAGAAGCAACAAGGAACTCTGGCACCGGACCAACCAAGAACCTATCACCTAACAAATATGCAGAAGGAAGTGGAGATGGGTTAGGCATACACTGAGAAGGCCTATTGGGGACACCACATACCAGGCCCTTGAGCGGAATCCAAAGGGGAAACAACGAGTTGAGCATCCGAGGTGACGTTGACATAGCGGAGATCATGTGAGGAAGAAATGAAAGCTTGTAGGCAGTCGTGGCGCCAGGTCCAAAAGACTGCAGAGGACAGAGTGTAATAGAGGCATCCTACTGAAGCCCTATGTTCCACTAGGAACCCAAGGGAAAAATAATGTAATAATCTAACTAGATTGGTTATTTCTGGTCATAGATCTGGTGAGAATGCACTTGTACATTATATCTAATTAGGAATAGGGATTTACTGTTAATTTACATGAGTCACAAGCCCTAAAATATTTTCTAGCTTCTTCCGAGTATTTTAAAGATGTCTAAATCAAATATGTGATAGCCGTTATCGCAATAAATCGAGACACAGGATTTTATTCTGCCAGTTACCTACTGTTTGTGAACACGTTAAATTGGCCAACCCTAATGTCCCACATGTTCACAGTTGGTGTAGTAAACTTTGACAACACAGATATTTTTCTTTTGGTTTACTGATTATCTCAGTATAAATAAAATATAGTGCACGAATATTGTTGTTTTATGCGATAATGGGATTTCAAGGGGATCTAACAATCAATCTGATGTCCCAGAAAAATTCGATGCGTCACAGGACGACTTGCCCGTTAGCTGTTCAAGTGATTTTTAATCTGTTAGAAACTTCTTGGAGAATCATTGAGTTGGGGTCATTGGGCAAAAGTACACTTTCTCAGACTTATTTGACTGTACTACGCTACATTGTTTTCATTTGGGTCAATCTTTAGCCATAAATATTTGTTACCACCTTAGGCAATTCAACCATTCGAAAATGTTGCAGTACCAATTTCATTGTAACCAAACGTAAAACCATACAGAGATTATGGTAGGAAAGGTTTGTCATTAAGTTTCACACTCCATAAACAACTACAAAAGAACTCAAATACAAACTGTGTTCGTAAGTCATACCATTTACTGTAATTTCACAAATTCTTTTCATCAAAAGTAAAATGTTATTCTTCAACAGTAGTGTCTGTACAGCGCTATGATGGAAAATGGAATTTCGGAAATAATAAACAAAGAGTTTTAAGGAATATTTCACCTCAATAAAATCCTCCTACACGTTAAATCTTTCTTATGCAATTCTTCGACACCAGTTGCAACGTCAGTTCACACAGCAGCTGAAACCAATTAACTCTTTCATTGAAAGTTTACTAACATCGTAGCTCACTGGTGTGGTACCTTTCCCATCTCACTTCATTAGAACAAGGTCGATCTACGCAGAATGAAAATCTTGTTTGGCATAAATACCTAGGTACGTAGTTCAAAGTAGAGTATATGATTTCACATCCGAATATGCATAATCAAAGTAACAATCACATACAGCACAGCTTTTCTTCTACAACACTGATTCAAGAGTGATGCAAAAATGTTGTTGTAGAACCACTACCAAGTTGGACAACGAGAAACCATTGTTCAAACCAATAATTTAGGGTATTGAAAAAGATAGTTTCACACTACACATTGAGATTATTTAAAAACTCAGTAAAAATGGCGGAGCCCTTGAAAGCTGTTACATTTCAGTTTCTGACTTCCGTAGCAAAACTCACCTTGAGTCTTTTCTAGAAATGATGGAAGAACTTTCATATTTCAAAACCATCCCATTGCATTTGAACTACTCAATCGGAACCCAACAACCGATGATTTTTTTTTTACCTGAATCAGTCAGTAGGAACTCCAACCAAGTTTACCAAAGGATGTCTCAATTCAATTCACATAAAGTAGATTATCATCCCTTTTTCGATTAGGCATCATCAACTAACTGGTAACTTTTAATATCGATTCTTCACTACTGAAGAACCCTTTGAAAGTAGACTAAAGAGATCAATAAGCATAGTGAAAAAGCATTCACACTCAAAATGATGTATGCTAAATATTTGAAACAACTTACAGTTATCAGCAAATGCATCAGTGAAGAAAACATCTCGAAATCCAACAATCGAGGGATGATCCAGCTCCGAGAGCTGCTTAGCTAGATAATAAGCATCAGGAGCTAAAGCTGCTTCATGCTCAGGTGGTAAAACTACACGTCTAAGAAGCATATAACGATTAAATCTAGGAGACCAAGCTTTGAAACAAACTCCAGCAAGCCCAAATGTAACAGATACCCGGGGCTGATCCAGAACTTCGAGAGGAACGAGGTCAGTATATGCCCCTAAACTGCAAGGCAATTCTGTAGAGCAGAAAATTATGATGACGTTAAATTCACTGATACATCAATCCTTATTTAAAATAAATGTAAAGTGCATTCTTTCTCTTTACAAAAATGCAATGACTTTACATCACCACTAATTATTAACCAGTTACTGTCAGAAAATCAGTGCTCAGAAATAAATTGGAATTAATTCTGAAATCCAGTTTGATTTGGAAACTTCACCGAAATATTAATCCAATGTAGCAGTGATCGCCTTTATTTATGAGAACTTCTTTCCCTCTGTCGGTCAGCTTGTTGAGCCTAAATCGTTGCTGCAACCAGGTAGCTCAACATCTTTATCATTCTTATTGTTTAGAATACTGGAAAAGAACAAAAGACTACATATATTGAATAAGTGATAAGTTATTTCATTTCCATATTACTGTCCTTTTTACAGTTGTAGCTACACAGGAAAGTGGCTCCAAATTCTGAAACGTTATGCACCATATGACAGATTATAATAGGAACTGAGAAATCAAGCAGTTCAGACTGAGGCTAATTTTAGACACAGTAGAGAAGTATACAGATGGTAACCATCAAGATAATGAAAATTAAAACAATAATAATCGTAATAATCTTAACATTCATCGCAATGATAAAAAAGAATTTAAAACAGCATAGTACAATATTTGTCAGAGCAGCAAAATACTGACATAAAAGAGTATTACAGTGAGAATAACTATTGGTTAATTACTCTATTTTGGAACATTGATACTTCGAAATCAGTACTTATGCTCTATAAAAACTGCATTATCTGATTTATCGTGAAAGTAACTCAGTGTTAAAGATCACACTTATTTCAATAAATCAACAAGGTGGATGAACAAGCCAGTAGACAGTAAAAATATGTGTAGAGGAAGACTGGTTTGCAACTAAAATCTAGAGTGATTTAAACAAACGATGTGTAAAACACTTGAACCACCTGAAGGTACTCCTTTGACTGCTCAATATACGAAGAAATTCGTAAATAAGACCTTGGCAAAAGATCGAAAACTTTGACAGAAGTTGAGAAACCTGTAGGCAACCTAAAACGAGGAACGATAGCAGGGCCAGATGAAGTTGCGTCAGAGATAATTACAAATATTGACTGGAGACTATTGCTTAGATTAACTGAAATAGTAGTCGGCGTACAAAAATTGGGCATGACCAACCCCCCCACCCCAACCCCCAATTGGTCTCAATCACTCATTGTCCCGATATTTTAAAAAGAAGCGAAATCCTCCAATGATAACAACAGAGGAGTAGGTCTGACGGATATATTGTCTACGATTCCGAATCTTACGATTACTAGACGTTTGCATGAAGCTCAGAAAAAGCAAACACGATGAAACCAGTCGGGTTTTAGACCTGATGTTGAGTGTGTTGATCATATCTTCACCGTCCGTTAGCTTGTGGAACGTATATATACGTAGCTATGCCCGACACTAACCACATTTCTTGACCTGAAGGTGGCATTCAACTCTGGGCATGATGTATCAGGCGTCTCATGTCCACCAAGTAGTATCTGTCAAGAATGCTGAATCTCTCCATTCTTCTTTAACTTTGACATATACATGCCTACGGAGATCGCGTTCTTGTTTGAGTTTGCTGGGCGTCTCTTTCAGTGAGAGGTACTGCCACAATTTATATCGATTGACGGAGTTGAATGTCACCTTCAGGTCAAGAAATGTGGTTAGTGTCGGGCATAGCTACGTATATATACGTTCCACAAGCTAACGGACGGTGAAGATATGATCAACACACTCAACATCAGGTCTAAAACCCGACTGGTTTCATCGTGTTTGCTTTTTCTGAGCTTCATGCAAACGTCTAGTAATCGTAAGATTCGGAATCGTAGACAATATATCCGTCAGACCTACTCCTCTGTTGTTATCATTGGAGGATTTCGCTTCTTTTTAAAATATCGGGACAATGAGTGATTGAGACCAATTGGGGGTTGGGGTGGGGGGGTTGGTCATGCCCAATTTTTGTACGCCGACTACTATTTCAGTTAATCTAAGCAATAGTCTCCAGTCAATATTTGTAATTATCTCTGACGCAACTTCATCTGGCCCTGCTATCGTTCCTCGTTTTAGGTTGCCTACAGGTTTCTCAACTTCTGCAGGAATTAAAGGTTATGTCAGTGGTCCATTCAAGACCAAACTTTATAGCAGAAAATAGACTAGTGTTATGAGTTAAGATGAACTTTTCCTCGAAGTGTTGTATGAAAATACGGAAATCTCAGCCGCCATTCATGCTACTAACCTGTACAGTTCATCTTTAAAATTGAGGGTAAGTAAGAGTTCCTGCAAATTTTCTAGAAACACTATGCACTTTGAAGGTGCAAACAACATACCATAAGAGTAGAAACTAATGAAGTGAGATTAGAGTAGCCTGTACGTTATCGCACAGTAAAGCCAAATCCTCCTCATTTTCAGTGTAAGAAAGTCTTTCACTTTGCACAGGAAGTAAACAATACAAATTCTTCAGAGATGTACTAAGAACATTATGCAAGGAAAAATTAAAAAGAAATGCCAAATTTGAGGAATCCGTCTTAACTTCCTCACTGGTTCGAAATACTGAGGAAAGGTAGTTGTATGCCTTTATTCTATCCGCGTTCTTGCTCAAGGCCTTCAGTATTTATAGAAATATCATAGGGGTGTTCTCCTGTTACAAATAATTCCAAAACATAGCCCTGCTCAGCAAATTGGGCATATAGAGAATGGTCAACAAGTGCCGGGTACATCCACAAAGTGAATCAAACCGGATCTACTACTCACATATTTTGATGAAGTACTGCAGCCTCCAAAATTTTAAACGCTGTTGTTAGCGGACTAGTACGCCAACAATTAATACATACGTTTAGTAGACGGATTTATTAAGGGGAGACAAAACACATTTTGCCGCACTTTCTCAAATGATTTAGTAGTTTCTCTGACTACAATTTCACCTCTATTTTTAAAAAACGAAAGAGATTTGCTTGGACAGAATGCTTCATACTGCAGTACCGTGAGTTCCTTCAGGAACTCCACCTCATCAGGTGGGTTGACATTAACTAACTAAGGAGAACAAGAAACTAAAGTCAGCGTTGCTGGAATTTCTAGTCGAAGTGCTCCACCTAGCGATCAGGACTTCCAAAAACGTTGTGCATCTGTGTACTATCTGCTTCACAAATCATCTCACTGACGACTTTCTTGTTGCCAGTGGCTGACTATCCCCAGATGTAGCTTGCATCTGACTCCTGCGTCTCAGTCATCGAAATTCATCGTACCTACTTCAATGTTGTTTGATGTGTCGCGTAAGGTATTTACGCATACTGTAGCACCCACTGTCTGTGAAAATTGACCGACTACTGTAGGTCATTTACAAAGAGCTTGCAAAGACGCAGCGTTTATAAGCTGAATGTCTTTCTACAACGCAAGAAGTTGCATTTGCTTTTTACATGGCGTCTTGCAGGTGCAACCAATGCTCATTTATTCTCTCTGCAGGGTTGACAGCTAATCTTGAATCCAGTTTAGTTTTTTACTCATTTGTAATACTGGGAGCACGCAATTTTTTTATGTTGAAAGGTTAAGAATGATGATTTTAATTAACTTGGTACACAGTAAAGCATGACGAGAGTTCAAACAAGTGCTCTGAAAGAATTAGTAATCGTAAATACACGCATGTCATCGATGGCTACAAGTAGTGTGATCTATATGAGTCACGATTTCAGTGGCAGAGAGAGGACTCCGGGCACCATAAAGGTAATGGTTGGTGATGACTAGAAACAGGTTATGATTTATGCACAGCTGTAGGGACGTTCTCTGTCATCTTACCTGCGGTCGAACAAGTCCCATTGTCCAAACAAAGGACTCACCTCAAAGCCATGACATCCAACTCTTACTGGTGTTATAGTATTTGTCAAGTGAACTCGATTAAGAAGCTCACTCGTTTGATAGTAAGATACATCTTCAACTGCATTCAGGCAGCTATCCACTAGGACAGACAGAAACAACGAATGGGTATCGCTCCTTTACTTTAATTCAACCTAACGCAACAGCACACAAACAATTTTTAATAGGAATCCAGTTTAGTGATGCATAATTAACTGTAACACTTAGTGCGACCGCCACACAGTAAGACATGCAGATAGTGCAGTTCAGTTTCCGGATTAACGCACGGAAAAGATTTTTGAGCTGATGGTGAAGGTTTCCCAAGTACTTCACTGAGATCTTGCATGGGAGTCTGAGATATGCTATACATGGGGACACGACTTTCCAGGACTTTAACTAAACCTGTTGTCAGATTTACATTAAGGTCTGAACGTTGAAGACAGTCAACTTAAACAATACGTGTTTCTAGAAAAGTTGGATCAGTTACCGCACTAAAGGACAGCATAGTATGAGCAACTAGACCAGAATTTTAATTCATAACAAACAGCTGGGAGAAAGATTGATGTACAAAAGACAAATAGGAAAGTGATCACAAAAATTGTACCGTTTATGTAAAAAAAAAAATGCCAACTACTAAATCACCACGAACCGAATAATTTAGCATAAAAGTTGTGAAACAGTGGGTTTGATTTCTTGCAATAAGATTCGATGACTGCTTTGAAGTTCTCATTATTAGTGTTGTTCCATGATTAGTATGAGGGGAGTGATACTGCCCAAATGTCGAAACTGAAGCTAATGGTTATTTTAAGGGTCCATTCCCCGAGTTTTAACTTGCAGTCTGATCGACACGAAACCAGGGCAACGTCAGTTGCTGCAACCGATGGTTGCCAGTGTCCAAAGTAGATTCGTACGTATTCGTTCGACCTTGGTCGTGTAACCCATGTGCACCACTGGTCTGAAATCGGCGTCTTTCAACTTCGTGTATTAACTATCTGTATTCCCATATCCAATCATAAACTCTGAGCATACAGTTCTACAGTTTCGCTTTAGAGAAAAACACTCTAATCACATGAAGACTTTGAGTAGAACTTCGGTGATAGAGGCATCACGGCTGCATTTCAAGAGGACAGCCAGCTTCATCCCGCCCTCTGAGATAACAAGGTATGTGACAGGTAACTATCTATATAAGTAAAGCGGCCAGTGAACTCCGCCAATACACTTACAACCTGAAGCAGAAGTCAGCATACGTCAGTCTTGAAGTACCACCGAAAATTTGACTGGTACGAAAAGTGTGCTGAATATGCCGCTGTTTTCAGGAAATCTTTAATTTTTCATCCATTACGACTAGTCGGACAATGACACCTCAGCACCTGACCAACCTACAAAACCAAAGTACAACCTTCAACACAAATACATGGGGCTCAAGTTGCCACACTTCACAATTGAGTACAAAGAAAGAGTGATATCAACCTAAGCAAAGATGTATGGGAGGAAACGAAGTTCTGAAGTCAAGGTTAGTGAAAATATTCCAGCTTTCGAAGATGTCAAAGTGTGAACACAACTGAGTGATTGTGAACGATTTTCCACCGTGTTACCAAAAGTCTTCAACCATTCATTCCCATTATCTCGGGAACCCCAGTCAAGCAGTCCATACCCACACAAATGGTTCAAACCAACTGTAGATTTCATAGACTGATACATGTTGTTCTGGCCGCGCTTAGCGTCTCATCAATTCAATATTACTTCGTCTAGCACTGTACGTCAAGGTAAACGGTGGCTGGAGGTGTGCAACACACGTCCGAAATACATCAATCAGTGGAGGTTCCAAACCTGGTCAATTGACTTGCCTAGAACCCTCCGCCTAACTTTTCCATAGATCACACAGTAATTCCAGATTGCGCAAGCAATCCTACGAAGGCACCTATGGTTAAAAGCCTATAATCACTCCTTGTTTCAAATTCAGCACCCATGTCTCACAGATATATAAGAGGAGAAAACGAACTGCAGGGCTGCACACACTTTCTTTAACAAGCAGCCGCATATCTCAGCAGTGAGCACCAGAGATGAAGCAAGTTTTCAGATGCCAAATGAGCCTTCTGCATCCGAGCTGTTTTTTTTAGCAATCAGCCCATCGGGTTGATGCAACCCCCAAAATAAGTTATGTGCACAACGCATTCATTCTCTACCCTTAAGTTGAGAATAGCTTCCGACAAGTCCTAAAGCATCACTTTAAAAGTAACAGAGGCGAAACGCGTGCCAAACATATGCATATTTCTGCTCAAGGGGTTCAGAACGCCCTGCATCTTATTAATGCCTTCACTTGGCAGGGAAATATCGTCTGTGTACTCCAAGTCGACCAAATACCCTCAACGGAGTAGATTAACGCCTGTGAAGTCGGAGGTATCTAAATTTATATCCATTAGTACATCCATCACGAAATTAAACACGAACAGTGACAGCTGAAATCCATGCTAGACATCAGTGGTTGTTGTTAATTCACGCGACAGATAAAGCAGACGAAAGGATTCTGACTCAGTGAGTAATGTTAGCATATCCCAACATTTTGAAACAGGTTCTACATAGCTATATCGAACCCATACCTTTTACAAAACTACATTATTAATCGAAAGTACTTACTTTCCTTTGTGGATTCATCAGCTGTGAACAAACAGGCTTGAAGTTTGTTGTGCAGTGCCTATAAGCAGGAATAAATAACCATAGACAGTTAACAGGAGCTTAAAGTGACTCCGAAGAATGACATTTTACATTTTGTGCATTTATTAAGGAAGGAGAAAGAATATGACTTAAAACTTTCAACTTCAAATTGACGAAACTTGTAAAATACATCAGAAAACAAAAAATGAAAAATATTGTAGAAGCGTAACAGGGACATACATGTTTGAAATCGTCATCAATTACAGTGGAACCAGATGCAGGGTTGTTGAGAGAATTGGACTTAACTTCATGAATTCTTCCTGTCCTCATATGAGCTGCAGTGCCTTCAGGAACTGGGGGAACAAGAATCCATGGCGCAACTTGGAGACCACCAGAAGCTTGTAATTTTCTTGTGTTTTCGAACTGATGGTTTGAATAATACTGCGAAGCAGTGATGGGAAGAACACAATGAGAATCACTGAAGGCGGTAAAGTGAATGTCAGGTCGCATATCGGAAGGCAGTGGTACATCAGACTGGCAAGAGTTTAGAGAACCCATAGAGTTTTGAATCGGTGACTGCTCAGATTGACCTGGTGCTCTCAAAGTCGGTGGTAAGTAGTTTTCAAATGAATGCGAGGAAGCCAACATATTATCGAATGAAGAAGTGGGTGAATTCGACTGGGTAACATTCGAATTAAATATTCCATCTCCTGAAAGACCATCATTAGTTGTGCCGCCAAATCGACTGGAAAGAAAGGCTGAACACATGTCAGAGTTCAGGGGGGTCTGATGACTGTCTGACAGGTTGGAAAGTATACGTGAGGAGGAAACACCAGGAGTCTGTAAAGCAATAATTAGAATCTGGGTGAAGAGATCGTATTCTAATAAGATCAACTTCATTAAAAGTTACAAAAGATATTCGTGACAAGCATATCGGAAAAAAGTTCCCCCTATACCTTTAGCAGAAGTCACAAACATTTTCACAATAGCATTTAACTTAGCAGACAGCGTAAAGTATAAATGAGATTCGAATATTTGTTGAACAATCACCACCTAAAGTAATTCATGATTGCCTACTACGTATAACAAAATGACCAATTTGATTACATAAAAATAAATTTAACAGTATTATAATGATGAACTACATAATAAAGAAAACATAGGTACAATGCAGATCCAAAGATTGCCGTGTAGCCGTTTACGTCGTCACAACGGAGAGAAACCAATAGACGATAGAACAGCGGATCAGTAACAATAAAGAACTAAACAAGAAAAAGAAGTCGCGGGGAAAGGAAAACGCATAGAATAGGACTTTCCAGATTTAAAACTGAAAGCAGGCAGGAAAATGTACAACCACTTGCAGAAGTGCATTGGTTTAAAATGAGATAATTTGTAACAGCGAGTAAAGGCAATCAACATGCACGGAGATACTAAAGTAAACAAGGCGAGAGAAGATAGAACAGATAATAGATTAATAAGATATTCAGATTTTTGATGGGAAATAGTGAGGTAAAGACATTTCTTTACCTTTAGGATCGATTTCGAACTACACTGTTTAGTTTCTAAACAAGAATCCTGCAATCCCTTACGTGGCTCTGACGGTCAGCAACTTGATGCACTCATAGCATATCTTAATTGAAATTTATTCAGCAACCTTGCACAAGTCCGCAAAGTAGGCAATGAGCCACACGTGTTGCGTGAAGACTAATGAAAACCTATTTGGATGTCTAGACCTCAGTAGGTGAACCTGGGTCCGAACTCATGACCCATCAGTTGAAAGTCCAGTGCAAAGGTCACAGCTCTACTATGTATTGATCTGACCATCTTGATGCTTTTTACATCCTATTTTTACCAGATCCAACGTTGTGATTTCTGGTAAGCAATATCTAGACATATGTAACGCATTCAGTTCATGAAGATACACAACCTTATCAGCATAACTACCTCCCTTCTCTGATGATATACACGTGTGACACCAATTATTGCAAATGTCTGTGATCTATTTTTATCGAAGATGAGAGGTGCCACCTTTCAGTACACATGGCTCTTTAATAATTTTGGAATAACTTGCGTAAACTACTGACCAGATATTGTTGATATCTTCATCTACTATCTAGTTTGCATCATTATGACTAGAAAATAATCGCTTGTAAGAAACCTAGTCCATGAATAAATACTGGTCCTAAAATCTTCGAGGCGAAATTATATCTGGTCTATGAAATCTAGTCAAACCTTTAGTCATCTCAACTGGTACTTCAGATTTGCCATTCGGGTGCATTAATGACTTAATGATTTCATCGACCCTAAAGGATTGACGATTTTGTGTGGACCTGCAACTCGACTTTCAATGAATGGGTCATAGGCTTGAGGTCCGTTACAACTACTGAAGTTTAAGAACCCGGATATTATTACTAGTACTAACACAATATACATGGTTCATTGTCTACTGCACAAACATGCACGTAGTTGCTGTACAAAAACCAATTTTTTCGACAGGTTTGAAGTGACGGAAATGATGAAAATGTTTCCATCACGGATTAGTCTAATTTTTGGGAAAAAATCTAATAAGATACTCATCTCCGAAAAGTCTTCGCAGAAAATAAGCCAAATAAAAAGTTTTACGCTTGGGTTTTACTTTCTATATTCCATTTTGCAGGGACTGGAAAACTACATATCTCGTACACTAAATGCAAAATAAAGCCATTATACCAAACGCAACAAATAACTAACCGGTTTAACTTCACCTAAAGATGTTCAAGAGAAACGTGAGTGCTTTAACACACATCACACGGTAGCTATATATCCAGTCTGATCAACAAGACATCCATCTACCAATGCACATAAAGCCAGGAGGTTGCCTAGTACGTGTTACATGTTCCCCAGTTTACAACCTCATATTTAACAACCTCCCTTGCCCAAACTCCTGCTTGTAACCTCAAATAGTGCTTATCTATTTACACGCGAAAATGTTTGTCACTAGGAATTGTGCAACCATATATATATATATATATATATATATATATATATATACCCATATGGACATTTATAAGGGCCATATACTCGAACAAAGCAAACTTACGACACGTACCTAGACCTTGCCAACAAAATAATGTCACTGGGCTACCACTTGCTAGTATGTGTACTAGGCAACTGACTACATCTATTCTGATAAAGTAAATGGTACTACCTGGCTATCTGAACCCTAATAGGTGGATCAGGACAACATTATATTATTGTATGCGACGAATATCCTGGTACCCATGTCATACTAAGCTTACCATTAAAGCACATAAGTCATCCTGTGGACGAGATGCTCTTCGCTAATACAGTTACGTACAGCCAATCACCGATTTAAAAACGATGCATCACTGATAACTAACCCTTCAGCACCATTCCATTTTCAACAAATGCGAGATGAGCGGCTTATAACCTAAAAATAGTCGCTCAAACTATGCAGTACACGCTTAACACAGTCCAAATTTCTAGTTGGAACTTACAATCGAACCCTACAAAGGCAGTCATCTGATTTAGTAAGCCCGTGAAACCAGTGAACAGAAATGATACGTGTGAATTTTAACAGTAGAAACTTAATATCCTTTAGCTCTTGCATGATCGTGCGAGTATGAAGACATTAACCACCATAATCTGCAGTCCATTACCAAATGAACCTCTACGAAGAGGTACTGTGGCGATGTTCTTTCTGCTACTGAAATCAGATATCAATTACGTGAAGGGTCACAACTTTACTTCGGATGGTATCTTGAAAACATGTTTGAATTTAGAAGAGCTTAACAATAGACCTCTGAAAAGATAACATCCGAAAACAGCGAGAAAGACAGGTGTCAGTTGTGGTTCTTAACATCACTGAATAAACACTCATTGCAAGCACAACTAGGCACTGAAAGACGTCTATGTCAAAGCTGGCGAACTATATAACAACTAAACAGAACGACTGAGATAAAACTATCCATGTTTCTGCAGACAGAGTTGAAGATTCACAATTTTATGAGTTAATGGAAATCTTCATCGCGTTGATCTCCAGTTACCCAGGTATAACCTCTTCATCAAGAATCAGATATGACTTACTCGGCCACGAAAAATACTGGCGAATCCATGGTTTCCAGGGACCACTGCTTTTGATGAAAGAGCTACTCTTTCAGGAGCTTTTGCAAGATGACCGTTTTGAGGAGTGAGAGGAGTCTTTGAAACAGATACTGTAGATAATACAGATGGTCTATTGCTCGTTGGTCCAGAATTCAGGGACAAGAAATCTGGCACCCCTGTTAAACGACTGAGAGGTTGACGATGAGAACTTGGGGTTGTACATTCTCCGGATATCGCAGGAACTGATCGAGTGAAGGCAAACTGTGCAGTAGACGGAGGCATACCCGAGTTGGCATTTTGATCACTCTGTCAGAGATAACAATAATTTCCAACAGGAGAACGGTTATAATTTTTTAAATTTACCTGTGCGGCTTGATTAGATGCAAGCGACAAGTTTTTCAAGGTATAAGACAGCATATTAGTATTCTGTACTCCAGAACCACCGAAAACAAAGTTGGAAGTCATGGCGTTCACTGATTAGAGACACGCTGAGGTGGTCAAAACAAATTTCGAAAGTGAGTAGACTTCAATAAGTGTTTTCAAAGACAATTGTTCAATTCGAATAAGACACTTTATTAGTTCTACTACATCCCCTTTCCAAAGAAATGAAATGTAACGCCAAGAATCAAGTCAACCGCTTGCCCACATCAATCATGTGAGTTAAGAAAACCTCAAGCTTCCCAGCTCTTATGTTCAGACCTTGAGAATCTGATCTTTCTATTCCGTTTTACTATGTAGTGCAGTACAACTTTTAAGTTTTCAGGTTGCAGATCTAGATATGCTGCCTCTGTATCTTGCTACATGACGAATATGCATATGACGAAAATACGATGCGATCATTTGAACCATTGAACAATATTGCAATTTCACACTTCTCGATACTCAAAAGTATATTCTTAGAGAAGCTAAATTCACGACCGGAGAGAATAATCTACTGTATAGACGATTATTATGCATTCCTCCAACTTCAGTGCTACTTAAAATTCGTGCTGCAAAATTGGGTAGCGATGGATATATAGCGACAAACACTCCCACAAAATCAATAGCCTACGGTTTGACGAGATTCAACATTGATGCCGACCTTGATAGTTTAACTGGACTCGCTAAGCTGAAGGCACCTGGTCAAGCATCCTCGCCATTTGGCACGCTATCGCGTTACCCTGCACTGCTCTTATTCGACTCTCTAGCCAGTTAGTTGGAGCGCACCGGTTTCTTGGCACAACCATCCAAATATACTATTCCATCCGACTAGGCTATCGTGTTCTTCCTTGGTCTCGTACTCGTGGGTATATGACAAGTCCGAATAATTAGTGATTGGTCTTTGCGTCTGTCAAGTTCGCACCAGGACAGATCCTAAGTTGGTTAGCCCGACGTGATCATATATCCCGACCAATAACAGATGTTGAATTGGTGAGCCTGTTCCATTTCATATTTGTGTGTTGTTTTCATTTCCACAACATTTATATATCCATTTACTACACTTTCTCATGTCCGACCACACTCCCAAGCCTATTCGTATTAAGCCGGCTAAGAACACTATCCGGCTGGTGCGATATTGGCCAGACAATGCGGAAACATGGTTTCTGTATGCCGGAGCAGATTTTCGAGAAGAGGGCATCTCAGATCCTCATTCTCGATTTCTTGCCGTCATGCGTTCACTGCAGCAGGAATTAAACAGACATTTTACAGCACACACCGTTGGTCCCAAAGTAAGTGATCCTTATGCACCTCTCAAAGCCGCACTCTTGAAGAGAAGCGATCTCACAGATCCCCAGTGCCTAGACGAACTGCTTCGTAACATCGAGCTAGGCAGAAACTCAGCTACTGAAGTCCTCGCACACATGCGAGAAGTTATGGGGGCACGAACATCCGACGATGGCCTTTCCCGAGAACTGTTTCTCTCGAAACTACCACAACCGGTGCAAACCGTGTTGGCGACACTTCAGTCAGTCCCGCTGGATGGCCTGGCAACCTCGGCAGATAAAATACTGCAGATCTCTAGCAGACCCGTTTCCAACATATATTCTGTCCGCGACAAACCATATAGCCAGGATTCAGAGTTGACCAAGCTGTGCAACTCTGTTAAGCAGCTGCTACGAGCTGGAAGTCCTAGTTCACGTAGACGGTATGCCTACCTCAACTTACATTCACGCGAACCTATCCACTGGATTTTCCTCCTGGCTGACGTCTCTACGCCCATCATTGACATGGACTTGCTAAACCATTACGGTCTACTCGTAGATGCTCGCCGTCGACGTCTGATAGATGTCAACACAAAGTTGTCTATTGGCGGCATCACCTACGTAGGTCCGAGCTTAGCCCTCGTCAGAACCAAATAATTAGGCGACGCGTCCTACCATGCAGTTCTGGCGAAATATCCAGAACTGCAACAGCCGAAACTGGCTCTTCTGCACATAACCAGCAATGATATGCATCACGCCACAACCACAGGTCCATCTGTGGCAACCAAAACACGGCGCCTAGCCCCCGATAAGCTCAAAATGGCGAGGAGTGGATTTGACCACATGTTCGGACTGGGCATGATCAAACCGCCAAACAGCCCTTGGGCATCACCACTGCACATGGTTCACAAAAAGGATGGCAACGACTGGCATGCGACCGGTGATTACCGAAGGCTTAATGCCAAAACAACTCCGGACTGCTACCCGATGCCTCATGTTTACGACTTGACTGGGGCGTTGTGCAGAATCAACATTTTCTCCAAAATCGATTTGGTCAAAGCGTACAATCAGATACCTATGGCAGCAGAAGATCCCGCGAAAAGAGCCAGTATCACTCCTTTTGGTTTCTTTGAATTCCTACCCATGCCATTTGGTCCTCGGAATGCAGCACAAACATTCCAGCGCTTTATGGACGATGTCTTCCATAGTTGTTTATGTCCACATCGATGACTGTCTAATTGCGAGTCCAGATAAGGAAACTCACCTTAAACATTTGGACCTCGCATTCGAAAGACTGAAAAAACATGGCATCACAGTCAACTTACAGGAGTGTGAAATAGGAGTTGAATCACTCAGCTTCCTTGAGCATACCATTGACAAGAAAGGCACACGCCCATTGGGAGATAAAGTGCCGGCCATCACAAATTATCCAGAGCCGACCACTGAGAAACATTCCGAACTTTCGATGGCCTGGTAAGTTACTACCGAAGGTTTATCCCCAACCGTGCCTCTGTCATGAGACCACCAACAGATCTACATCGAAGAGACCACGAAGTTCGTGGCCATGGACAACGTAGCCAGACTTGCTTTCTCTAAAGTCAAGGAAGCCATTTAGAACGCAACCATGCTCATGCATCACGACCTCAGTGCTCCTTTGAGTATTGCTGTTGATGCATCTGATTCAGCAGTTGGAGCAGTTTTGCAACAATTGACCGACAACCAGTGGCAACCGTCAGCCCTTTTCTCGAGGCCGCTGCAAGACGTGGAAACAAGATACAGTACATTTGGTAGGGAACTCCTAGTTATGTACCGTTCTGTACGCCACTTTCGACATTCGGTGGAAGGTCGTGATTTCATTATTTTCACAGACCACAAACCGTTAACCTTTTCCCTCAGCTCGGCGTCTGACAAATACTTCCCGCGAGAGTCGCGTCAGCTGGATTACATTTCCCAGTTCACGTCAGACATCCGCCACACTTCTGGAGCAGATAATTCCGTAGCCGATGCACTATTTCCAATACCTCCGATAAACCGTATCGAGGGCTTTGATCTCGTTGAAGTGGCTCGGTGTCAAAAAGAAGACCTTGAGCTGCATCATGAGCTGTCGTCTACAACTCTCAAGCTGCGACCTTGTCCGGTTGGATCAGACAAGGATACAATTTTGTACAATGTCTCTGCTAGTCAACCACGCCCATAAGTTCCGAAGAGTTGTCGACGCAACGTCTTCAATACGTTGCACAAACTGTCCCATCCAGGTGTGCGAGCCACCATTAGGCTTATCGCACAATGTTTCTGCTGGCCTGGAATGAACAAAGACGTTAGAGTGTGCGCTCAGTCGTGCCTAGCTTGTCAGAAGTGCAAAGCCACGAGACACACGGAAAGCCCTCTAGGTTCTTTTTTAGCTCCAGACATTCGTTTCGACCACGTCCATGTAGATATTGTAGGACCTCCACCAGAATCTAATGGACGTAATTATCTTTCCACCTGCGTGGATCGTTTCACACGGTGGCCAGAAGCAGTACCTATTAAGGATATCACTGCCAAAACAGTTGCTCGTGTTTTCGTCGAAAGATGGATCGCGAACTTCGGATGTCCATCTTACGTCACAACCGACCGTGGGCACCAACTTGAGTGTGGATTATTTCACGCCGTAACGGCACTTTTAGGTTGCACCCGGTTCCGAACGACAGCCTACCATCCACAAGCAAATAACACGGTAGACCGTTTCCATCGACAGCTGAAAGCCTCCTTTTCAGCCGCAAACATACCTCAGTGGACCGAGGCTCTGCCTCTAGTCCTGCTAGGTATTCGTAACGCCTTGAAAGTTGATGCTGGGGTACCCCTGCAGAACTCGCCCATGGGACCATTCTTCGTCTATCAGGTGAGTTTGTTTCTCCTTCAACTTTCAAACATGTTTCCGACAGGGCATCTTACGTGACTAGGCTGACAAACGTAATGCGTTCAGTTAGGCCTACTCCGGTTATACCTCAAACGACTGATGTCTTCATTCACCCCAGTTTACAAAAGTCATCACGCGTGTTTATTCGCCACGACGCTGTTCGTCGACTACTTGAACCACCCTACGACGGGCCATTCAAAGTGATCAAGCGACACGAGCAATTCTACATAATTGAGCGAGACGGACGTGGAGATACTGTTAGTATCAACCGTTCGAAACCAGCCTATTTCGAAGGCAACCCGATTATAAGTGACGTTTCAGCTCGCTACAGCCGACCAACGGATAGCTCAATTACCGAAATTCTTGGCGGTGTCCCTGGTAATGCACAGTTGCAACAACCATCGGCGCAACAGAAAACACGATCAGGTCGAACCGTCAGGTTCCCGGAGTATTTGAAGTCGTATCCAAATTAGCGGTGTGAAATAAAATGTGCCGACCTTATTTTCCCCACTTACAAATTTTTATTGAAGCACTATTTTCCCACTTACTTGCAATGCGAGAGTCCTCGTACATTTTGCCGTTTTATATCAATTTTTACTAGCATGTAATGAAACATTTTTAAAAACACGATGAAAATAAGCGTAAACCTTATTTAGATATATTTATATATAAATAATTCCCATTTTTTCGAAGCTTTTTCATGGTGTTAGAGACTTTCATTTATGTTCCAGGTGCAACGAGAACTGGGCGGAACGTCAAAGAAAACTGAGGAGTACGATTGACGTCCAATTCGATTTATTGTATTTCACCTTTAATTGCCACGACACCCTAGAATACGTTCCCACAACCAGGGACCGCTTCACGCAGTGAGCCTATCGGAAGAGTCTTACCAGTGGAGAAACCACTGGGCTTTTGCTTCCGGTTGGTATCGTCTTAGGGTCCTCACGAACCCACTAGGCGGGGGAGTGATCTGTAGTCAAACACTTCCCCAAAATCAATAGCCTACGGTTTGACGAGATTCAACATTGATGCCGACCTTGATAGTTTAACTGGACTCGCTAAGCTGAAGGCACCTGGTCAAGCATCCTCGCCATTTTGCACATCTTGAGTCTCATGGTACCGACGTGTTTTTACTCGAGAATTTCATTTACAACTTGCAACAGTGTTTACAACTTCATCAGACGTTTGTACATAGGTATAAAACAAGTGAGTGCCCGGTCCAAAATCCTCTGATCTCTCTATTTCGTAGTGATA